GAGCAAGCGCCAGCAGCCCAGAAAGTGGCCGCTGGGCGCAGGGAGGCCCAGACAGGTGGCCGGCGGGGCTGGGGCGCCCGGGAGGGGGTGGTGATGATGCCGAGGTCGCAGTGAGGGAGCCGTGTGTCCTCAGAGTATTTTACACGGAGTCAAAGTGCAGGTAGCTGGGCTGCCCCGGGGGCTCAGGCGGTAAAGCGCCTGTCTGCAGTGTGGCGGACCTGGGTTCCACCCCTGGGTGGGGAAGGTCCCCTGGAGAAGGAAATGGCAACCCGCTCCAGTACTCCTGCCAGGGAAATCCCATGGACAGAGGAGCCTGGTGGGCTACAGTCCATGGGGTCGCAAAGAGTCAGACACGACTGAGTGACTCAGTGTCACTAAAGTGCAGGTACTCTAAGTGCTCAAGATTCACTGAAAAAAAAAAAAGAGCAGCTAAATGATAAAAATGATACATACCCAAAATGATAAAGCATATCTTAAAAAATAAACTGAAATATAAAATAATTTTTAAATGTAGTTAAGTACACATTGCTCTTCTATAAATGATTGGGAGAAAAATTAATAAGATTAAAGTATTAGAAGTAAAATAAACACTGCATAGGATAAAAATAATCACAAATATAAAAAATCTATTTCTTTAAAGCAATCATACGAAACATTATTTACTGTTGGTTTCATGATGGCTGAATATTGAGTTGCTTTACATATTTTGGTGAAAACCTCTTTCTGACTTAAGATAAGAGTGAGGAGATAGTTATAAGGTAACTTGGGTTGTACTTTTTTTTTGTTGAACTTTCTAATCTGCAAGTAACTCATTTGTCATTTGATAATCGAGCTTATTTTGACGAGGTATTTTTTTTCCGAAGACTGGAATCTTGTTATTGCTGCCATGATATCTTTATCTTTTTATTGATGGCATGATGCTTCCCGTCCATCTGTATCTTCTCCATTTCTCTCCTGTATAGATGGACATTTTCTGCTGCCCCGTATCTATTTCAATCTGTCTTGTTTTTATTCCATTTCTTCAGAAAGCTTTTGGCCTTTGGAAAGAGCCTTTATGGAAATAGAAACTTTATGGTGCTGCTTGCAATATATGTATCTATGTGCTTCTCCACCCCCCAGACTTGTAGACTACGCTTTGTTCAGGGTTTTTGCTTACATTGGATGATTAAGTCATTGATCTTCATCTCAAGATACAAATTGTTCAACTTCAGTGGTATTTTTGTTAAGATTGAAACACTGATATCCCAGCCCATCCCAGACAAAAGCCTGTGTTTCCATCTTTAAAACCAGCGTGCCTCCTGAAATGCTGGATCCCAGGAGAGACTGTGTGGGGTCTTAGGCCAGGAGAGAGCTGAGGACTTTGTACTAAATACAAGGAGACCCTAACTAGGCTTCAGGTAGGAGGGGGATATGATATATCTACACTGGGTAGAGAACAGACCAAATGGAGATACAGCCCCTGCAGTAAGAAGTGAGGAGAACGGCTCAGAGTCAGGGGCAGCCGCAGTTTCCGTCTAGATGATGATGGGAAATGGGGCCAGAAAGGGGAGGGGAGTCATGGGTGACTTTAAGGCTTTGCCTCTGCAGCTTGGCTCACTGAGAAAGAGCAGGAGCGACCTTAAAGGAGCAGAGACAAGAATTTTACCCTTGGGTGGGCTGAGTTTTAGAAACTCGTAGATGACAAGCCGGGGTGTGGGGTGGACATCTGTGTGCACAGTTCCTGAGCTTAAAGATGAAGGGGGAATGGGTGATAGAAACCCAGGACTGCATCTCAGAGGTCTCCTGGGATGGCAGGAACAGAGCAGAAAGGGGGCCCGGGGAGGGGACCCCAGAGAAGCCAGTGCGAAGGGCTGTGATGAGGAGGAGGGTCCACGAGGGGTGGGAAGGGCTGGCCGAGGAGGCGGGAGGGGGGCCGGCTGCCCAGGTGCCCTGGACCCAAGAGCAGGAGCCGTGGTAGGGAGGGTACGGTGGGTGCCCTCGGGCTCTGCCAGGTCGAGGGCAATCCCTGTTGGACGCAGCAACACAGATGCTGATTCTGTTATAAAATGCGAGTGAACAGAGTTCAAAAGAGACCGTGAGGAGAGAAGGTAGAGAGAGGACTCTTGTAAAGAAGCTTGCCACAAAGAGGAGCAAAGAAGTGGGTCAGGACCTGGAAAGAAATGTGATGTGAAATGATTTTTTTCGAAGTGTCATTTAGAGAACACTTGCTCAGATGAGGAAATATCCGGAAGAGGAGGGTAAGCTAGCGATGCTGGAGGTGACGACACGAAGTCCTGGGAAGGGGACGGGGGTCAGAGGCAGGGGCACAGGTGGCGGGGGCGTTGCCTGGAGACGGGCACACGCGGGGCTGGGGGCAGGTCTCCGGCCCAGGGCCACTGGGGAGGGACGCTTAGCTTCTCGGTGGTGGGGAGAGGCTTAGGATCGGTTCTGTGTTTTGTGTGTAAATAAATGAGGTCATAAGATGGGGTGAGGCATTTTGGATAATATCAAATGTTTAAGGAGAAGGAGGTGATGGAAATTCCCCCTATGGGAGGGTGAGTTGATCGGGATGAAAGCAGAGCTGAGCACCCAGTCTGGGACTAAGAGGTCTGGGGAGGGTGGGCGTCAGCCCGAGGCTCATGAAGGTGGATGTAGGTGCCAGTTCATGCCCAGCTCTCCGTCTCTCTGTGGCTGGTTCCTCTGCCCCAAGCACATCAGGGGGGCAGAGTCAGACTCAGCAGTCTTCACGGGGACCACAGGGATGGGGAGAGGGGGAGGGGAGGAAGGGATTCTAGCGTCTGGGCAGAGAGCTAGGCCAGGAGTGCATGGGAGGCTGGTTTAGCAGGTTAGAAGCGGGGACGCCGGCCTGTCTGGCCTCCTCTACGTGGCATTTACCCCACTCTTCATTTTTGTCATGTTTTCATTTTTGTCTTCACTGTCTGTCCTGAGCTCTGCCAGGCCATCTTGTCCTGTTGCGGCATCTCTGATTATAATAGCTTCCCCCCCGCCCCACTATGTTTCTTTAGAAGAGCCACTTCATTTTGTTCATTGTTGTTTTTCTTCTCTTTGTGGTGATGTGCTTGGTTAGAACGTTTATCCTCTTTACGCAATTTTTAAAAAAAAATATTTTTAGTCTGCCTCTTCTTGTCTAATCTCTTACTTTTCACTCTTTGCACACACGTGATGCTGGTTCCCTGTTGATTGTCTCTACTTGTTAATGAGAGAGGTTTTCTCAGACAACTTAAAGTAGGGAGGGTCGCTCGGAGAACGTCCCAGCTGTGAGAATCTCCCCTGGAGATGGGCCTTGAGAGCAGGGCCGTGCCATCGGCAGTTGGTTCCAGCCTTCTCTTCCCTCCCCTCTTTTCTACAAGCTTGGCTCCTCTCTCCCCTCCCCCAGCCTCACAGGTGACTTCTGGTCAGTGCTATCATCCTGCGTCCTTAGGGCCAATTCGGGGCCATGGACACCCAGGCCATCAGTCCGCACACCCTTCCCTGGGGGTGATTGATTTATCCCTAAGCTGTGTGGCCCTATTTTTTGTTTTTAATAAACGTTTAATTTTGGAACACTTAAACTTACAGAAAAGTTGCATCCATCCCTTTATTTTTAAGGTTCCCAATAGAAGCATGTGCTCAATTTTCATTGTTTCTTTCATCTTCATTTTAAAGCACATATTTCATCATCATAATCTAAACACCTTGGTCATCTTATTTCCAGTGTTCGTCAATATCTCTCATGTGACTATGATCCATGCATTCTGACAGTTACAGACGATTTCCCTGTCCACCCATCCAGTAACACTCATCAATCTGTGTCCAGCATCGTGGTCATGAGATTGCAGGGATGCTTTTGAGCACATTTGCAGGCATGCTAGAGTGTCACTTGGATAAACACCCCAAAGTAGAATATGGGGGGCCGAGATCATATCAACCTTCAGCTTTAAAATACAATGCCGAGCTCTTTGCACAAGAGATGACAACAATTACAAGGAGAGCAGAAATCATTCTGTGCATCCATGTTTTCCAATTACATCATTTCAGTCTTTAAAAACTATCGTCAATCAGACACTGTGTAGAATGCAGTCTTCAGTTGCATTTCCCTGTTTGCTCATGATGGCAAAGTGTTCATATATTTATTGGTTCTATGTGTTTGCTCTTGAATAGAACATTCATTCCCTAATGTTGACCCACTCCTGCATTGGGACATTTTGTTTCTGCCATTGAAATAAAAAAAGACTTCTTTGTGCATTTCTGTTATCAACTGGTTATTTCTATGTTTTCCAAACTTCTCCCAAATTGTAGCTCACTTTATTTTCCTTAAGTTTATTTTAATAAAATTTTTGAATTGAAATATACCCAAATGTCTTCATTTGAAGTTTCATTAATGCATTTTATATGTCTTATTTAATAAATTGGTCCTTATTCCACTTGCCCTTACCCCTATTTACTATGAGAAGTTTTAAAGATTTGTTTTTTGATATTGTTAAATACACTAGCATGGTACATTTTTAGAATTAATAAATTGATACTGTTACTTTGTGCTCAATGGTTCAGTCATCTCCAACTCTTGGCAACCCCGTAAACTGTAACCCCCCAGTCTCCTCTGTCCAGGGGATTCTCCAGGCAAGAATCCTGGAGTGGTTTGCCATTTCCTCCCCCGGGGGATCTTCCCGCCTCGGGGTCGCATTTGTGTCTCCTGCGTCTCCTGCACGGCAGGCGGGCTCCTGAGCCACCAGAGGCTGCCCCCGCCCCAGATCCATCACTATTCACCATACAGAGTAGGTTCATATTTCCTCAGTGTTTGCTTAACGCTCTTTGCAAATCTTTTCTATAATCTCTAAAAGTCCTTCTGTAGATTAAATAGATTTCTGTGCTAACAATTATTCACTCTGAAATTAGTAATGATTTTAGTATTTTCTTTCGTTTATTGTGTTCTTATTTTTTGTTGTTGTTTATTGGTATTTGGGCTGATTCGAAATTTCAGTACAGAGTTAACAAAAGTTCTGAAACTGTGCATAAAACAGGTAACCAACCAGAACGTGCTGTATGCACATCACAGGGAGCTCTATTCAGCGCACTGTGGGGACCTTAACGGGGAAGAAATCCGGAAGGGAGCGGATGCACGTACACGCGTGGCGGATCCATCCGCTCTACAGGAGGAACTGACAGAGCACTGTGAACCAACCGTACGCCAAGAAAAAATAACTTAAAAATAGTCCTGACAGCAGACGTTTACGCCTCATTCTTGATTTTGAAAGAATCATTTCTAAGATGCCCCTCTGTAGGATAATCTCTTTCTACATATTTGTTTTTCGATTGTTTTATTGTAATACGCATTATTTCACAGATAAGACTTTCTTGTCATTTTCTTATCTAGAAAGACTTTTTAAACCATAAGTGAGGGTTCATATTTTTAAGTAAACTCCTCTCTGAAGCATGGCTTCCCTGGTGGTTCAGATGTAGCAATCCCTATCAAGCTACCAACGGTATTTTTCACAGAAGTAGAGCAGTAATTTCACAATTTGTATGGGAATACAAAAATTGGAAGAGCCAAAGCAATTTTGGGAAAGAAGAATTGAACTGGAGGAATCAACCTGCCTGACTTCAGGCTCTACTACAAAGCTACAGTCACTAAGACAGTATGGTGCTGGCACAAAGACAGAAATATAGATCAATGGAACAGAATAGAAAGCCCAGAGATAAATCCACACGCCTGTGGACACCTTGTCTTTGACAAAGGAGGCAAGAATCTACAATGGAAAAAAGACTAATTATCAAGTGATGCTGGGCGAACTGGTCAACCACCTGTAAAAGAATGAAACTAGAACACTTTCTAACACCACACACAAAAATACCCTCAAAATGGATTAACGATCTAAATGTAAGACCAGGAACTATAAAATTCCTAGAGGAGAACATAGGCAAAACACTCTCTGACATAAATCACAGAAAGATCCTCTATGACCCACCTCCCAGAGTAATGGAAATAAAAGCAAACATAAACAAATGGGACCTAGTTAAACATAAAAGCTTTTGCACAATGAGGGAAACTATAAGCAAGGTGAAAAGACAGCCTTCAGAATGGAAGAAAATAATAGCAGATGAAGCAACTGACAAAGAATTAATCTCAAAAATATACAAGCAGCTCATGCAGCTCAATACCAGAAAAATAAAATGGGCCAAGGAGCTAAACAGACATTTCTCCAAAGAAGGCATACAGACGGCTAACAAACACATGAAAAGATGCTCAACATCATTCATTATCAGAGAAATGCAAATCAAAACCACAATGAGGTACCATTTCATGCCAATCAGAATGACTGCTATCCAAAAGTCTACAAGCAATAAATGCTGGAGAGGGTGTGGAGAAAAGGGGACCCTCTTACACTGTTGGTAGGAATGCAAACTAGTACAGCCGCTATGGAGAACAGTGTGGAGATTCCTTAAAAAACTGGAAACAGAACTGCCATATGACCCAGCAATCCCACTTCTGGGCATACACACTGAGGAAACCAGAATTGAAAGGACATGTGTATCCCAGTGTTCACCGCAGCACTGTTTATAATAGCCAGGACATGGAAGCAACCTAGATGTCCATCAGCAGACAAATGGATAAGAAAAACGTGGTACATATACACCATGGAATATTACTCAGCTATTAAAAAGAACACATCTGATTAGTTCTAATGAGGTAGATGAAATTAGAGCCTATTATACATAGTGAAGTAAGTCAGAAAGAAAAACACCAATGCAGTATATTAATGCATATATAGGAATTTAGAAAGATGGTAACAATGACCCTATATGTGAGACAGCAAAAGAGACACAGATTTAAAGAACAGACTTCTGGACTCTGTGGGAGAAGGCGAGGGTGGGATGATCTGAGAGAACAGCACTGCAACATGTATATTACCATATGTGAAACAGATCGCCAGTCCAAGTTCGATGCATGAAACAGGGCACTCAAAGCCGGTGCACTGGGATGACCCTGAAGGAGGGGATATCCGCGAGGGAAGTGGGAGGGGAGTTCGGGATGGGGGATACGTGTACACCCCTGGCTGATTCATGTCAATGTGTGGCAAAAACCACTACAATATTGTAAATTAGCCTCCAATTTAAATAAATAAATTAATTTAAACAAAACAAAAACAACAAACATAAGTGAGGGTTCATATTTTTAAGTAAGCTTCTCTCTGAAGTATGGCTTCCCTGGTGATTTAGATAGTAAAGAAACTGCTTGCATTGCGGGAGACCCAGGTTCAATCCCTGGGTCAGGAAGATCCCCTGGAGAAGGGAATCGCTACCCACTCCAGTATTCTTGCCTGGAGAACTCTGGACAGAGGAGCCTGGTGGGCTACAGTCCATGGGGTTATAAGGAGTCAGACACGACTGAGCAACTAGCACTTCTCTTCACTGAAGTATAACATTACTACAGGAGGGCCCCCTCACATAAACACAGAACAGTTGATGGATTTTCACACGTGTGTGGATGAGCACACACATGTGACCAGCATCTAAGACCAGGAAACAATGTTGCTAGTCCCACAACCTGCCCTGCTCCCCTGATGAGTGAGCACGCCTCCCTCAGGGAGAGCCAGTCCTCACCCCACAGTTCTGCGTTTTGTGTCTTGGCGCCAGTGGAATCGTGCTGCGCACACTCTTGTGCCTTAGCTTTGCTCGATAAAAGGCACAGCTGTACTCCTGAGCATCACTGTGGATTGGTGAGTTTCCTGCTGCAAAGATGTGAGGACACAGTGAGTGTCCTCAGTTCGCTGCATGAATCTACTTGAGAAACGTGTGACTGTGGACTACAGTGAGTGTGCCCTATAAACGGTATGTCTCATGAAGAGTCTGTGCACACATGCTGTCCAGCATGGGCCTAGGAATGCAATTGCTCTGCAAAAGGTACAGATTTATTGAGCTGTAGAGGATTCTTCCAAATGACTTCACAGAACAATAGGACCAATTACACACTCTGCTCGCAGCACATGAGTTTCATTTAATCCACATCTTTGTCAAAACCTGCCATAGTCTGTATTTTGGGCATTTTGGTAGACACTTATTGGCTGTGGATTGTGCTTTAGTTTGCGCTTTCAGGATGACTAATGAAGAGCAGTGGATTTTTGTATGCTTTATTGACTATTGGAATGCTTCTTTTTATGAAGTGTCTCTTCAATCTTTGGCCTAATTTGCTTTCCAGTTGCTTGTCTTTATATTGTTAATTTGTATGTATTTTTCATTATGTTCTAGACACAAGTGCATGTGTTATATGTTTTGTAAGAATTTTCTCCAATCTGTTTCTTGACTTTCACTTCTCATGGTTCCTCAAGTGTGCAGATGCTCATAATTGCAGGTGCTCAAATATAGCCATTCTTTTTCCTTTAAGTTTAACAATATTTATGTCAAATTTAAGATCTTTACCTGCTCTAAGATCATATGGATGTCCTCCTATGCTTTTTTCCAAAAGCCTTGTTGTTTTAACCTGTTATATTTAGCATTAAAAATCTTCTCTAATTGATATTTGCATATGATGTAAGATTTACTTCCTCATAGATATCCAGTTTGTCAAGCATTATTTATTAAAAATCCTATGCTTTTTTTCTATGTCGCTGCAGTAGGACTTTGATCGGGGGACTGTAAATGTGTGCATTGCTTTATGGACTGTGTTTGGATCCATTGGCGTGTTTATCCACCTTTGCTTTATCCATGATACCACACTGTCTCAATTAATATAGTTTTATAATAAAATTTCTCATGTAGAATTGCAAGAGATCCAGTTTGGTCCTAGTCCTTCTAGTAGCCGTATTCTCGATCTTTTGTATTTCCGTATAAACTTCAGATTCACTGTATCAGTTTCTATGCACACTCAAAATTATCCTGGAATTTTTTATTGAAGTTGCACTAAACCTATTGATTGCTTTGGGCTTCCCAGGTGGTGCAGTGGTAAAGAATACACCTGCGAATGCATGAGACACAAGAGCCATGGGTTCAATCCTCGGATTGGAAAGATCCCCTAGAGTAGGAAATGTTAACCTACTCCAGTATTCTTGTCTGAAAAATTCCATGGACAGAGGAGCCTGGTGGGCTACAGTCCATAGGGTCACAAAGAGTGGGATGTGACTGAGCACATTGATTGACTGATTTAGGAGGACTGTCATGTTCACTTGATTGAGTCTTCTCATTAACCAATGTGGAGTACTTCTCTATGCAGACTTTTAATTATTCCCAAAAAATTATAGGTTTTAGTATGCAACAGTGCTTCTCAGACTCTCGGTAGTGAAGAACTAGTTTTCTGTTTTGTCTTTTACAAAATATCTTTTAACATTTATTTATTTCTTTGTTCCTGATATGCAAAATATATTGAATTGGATTTATTAATTCTTTTCCAGCATTTTTGTAAAATTTACTTCTTAGTTCTAATAGCTCAGAGTCTGTTCCAAATACTTAATCATTTCATCTAAAATAACAGTTTTTTCTTCCTTTTCAGTTCATGTGAATTTTATTTATTTTTCTTGCCATATTGCTCTAGCTGTGGCCACTATTTAATGTAAAATTTGGCCCATTCTCAATTCGTATCTCAGTGGGAAGCCTGAAGTACAGTATTTAAATAATATTTGCAAATATGCCTTATTTGGTTAGAGAAGTTCTCTTCTATACCTAGTCTGCTGAGTGTTTTTTTCTTTCTTATATGTTTTTTTCTTTAACATGAATAGGTATTGAAGTTCCTCATACATCTAGTAAAATAATAGTGTGAGTTTTCTTGGTGAAGTAAGCCTGTCCAAAGCTGTGTAGGAAACACCATTTCCAGTGACACATTTTTTCCATGGAGGTTTACTTCATCATACATTAATGTTGCCATGCCAAATTTATCGGGCTAATATTTGCCAGAAAAAGTTCTTTCTATTCTCAGACCTCAGTCATATTTAAGGTCTATTAATATTAATAACATACATATGGATTTCTGTTTCTAAGACAATTTGTCATTTCATAATTGGTGCAATGAGTTTACTTACATTTATTATGTTTTGTTGACATATTTGATCTTTCCATTGATCATAATTAATCAAAACCTGTCCATTATTTAGACATTTCCCTTTGTTCTTCTTTTAAAAATGAATATATTTAGCATTTTCTAATAAGACATTAAGATTTTTTCCTCCTGATGCCAAATGCATGGTGTGTTTTC